TTTTTTTTTTTTTTTTTTTTTTTTTTTTTTTTTTTTTTTTTTTTTTTTTTTTTTTTTCACGCTAAGGATACGGCCACTCAAAATCGTCCTGATCGTCGCTCATTTGGAGCACATTGTTCAAAGCCTCGGAATTCTGGGCCATGAAGTATTGTAGATCGCAATTGACCAGGCTCTTGGTATCCTGAACCATCTGAGTGTCTTGCGACAGGCTCATGAGAATGCTTTCGATATCAGACTCACTAGGGTCTTCTATACCTTGATGTGTCAAACTTCCATTACCTTCGTCATTGGTGCCAAAGAACTGGTCAAAATCAAGAACATCCTTGTCATTTAGACAATCTTTTAGTTCTGGTAGTTCTCTATCTAGACTATTTATCTTAAGTACACTGGCATTTTGCGATTCACTGGTCAAAGCTTTATTATTTACATCGCTCTTAACCCTATCCAACTTAATCTCCGTATTTACATCAATGTCTTTGTTAGCTACTGCTATATCACTTTCTTTACAAATATTATTAGCCATTGTACTTTCTTTTTTTTTCTTAAAATCTTCAAAAGTAAACTTACTCAGCTGTAACGTCTTTTTGGCAAATAAAAAATTTTGCGACTTACTTTTTAAAGTTGACCTAAACATATTGGCCTGGGCAACTAATTTAGAATCACAAGGCTCATTCTTAACAACTACGGGCTTATTAGGTAATGAGGTACGTAAGTCTTGAATCTTATTACCTATATCTTTAGGTATACTAGTCTTAGATTTGAGCAAATTATTACTAATGCCCTTGAACACACATTTTTTGTTTGGCAAACGCAGTTTTTCGAGCTTAAAGTTAGCTGGCTGGGAACAAGTAGTCAACTTAATAATACGCGTATTATTCTTATTACTAGAAGTTTGACGTTTATCACATGGTATGCTTACACTGATAGAAATATCTCTAATGTTTTTCGCATGGTCTTTGACATCGACTGAAGTCAACGAGGACGCAGGTACTGAATCATAACATTGCCCTAGAGTGCTAACTGTAGCATCTTTAATTACAACCTCAGGAGTTTGAGGTGGGGTGTACGTCGATAAAAAAGCATGGGAAAAGTCTACTTCCTTCATGAAATACTTGTTTGCCATTTCTTCCATGGCTGTCACAGTTTTGTAAATATCAACCGGCCTCAGTATAACTTTAAGATCTTCCAACTCCATGGGCCAAGGGCACTGTTAAGTAAACAAAAAAAAATTGAAACAAAACATGGTACCGAGTCTAATAATTGTCATGAAAAAGTAACCATAATAATCACGAAAAGTAATCGTCACTTGTATGTATACATAATTAATGCTCTATAGTAAAAGTATGTAACTTACCTTTGTGGATGAGCACATGAAGATGGCCTCCTTCCAGTTGACCTGGAAGCACTTGATACTCGTTCTGACTCCATTTTTTTCACACAATGGGCAATACTCTCGCATTCTGAAAGTTGACATTTCAAATTAAATACCTCTTTTTTTCTAAACATGAAAGTTGGGTTATATTACCAACTGTTGAGAGTAACAAAAAAACTGTTATCGAAACGTACTTTTGCCATCCAAAGACTTGATTAATCGAGATTTAATTGAATATCACGTAATAACGTAACTTCTTTCACAGCACATGTAAATGCCACTAAAAACACGTGCACTGACCTGCAACCGGCCTACGGTGATGCATGTTGGCATCTTGCGCCACTAAACTGCTGTAAGCTGTAAGTATACCTATGTTCAATGTTTTGTGTAGCCTGTACCCTGTGCCTTCTGTGCTGTTTATGCTGTACTTACTCTGTACTGTGCATGATACTTATAGATGTAATACTATTTTCAATAATTAACTTAACAAGTCACTCATTAAGTACACTGTGTAATTTGCACACCTACATTTTGACAAGTATGCTAATGTATGTGTACTACAAACTTGGTACTCTTGCTAGCCGTGAAGTTTGAATTCTTGAAATAATTTGTAAGTAATATTAAAACATGAGGAACAACCATAAGCATAAAATAAAAATATAGTGATAAATAATTATAGTATTAAAAACTAGTAAAAAAACGTTAAAACCATTTTTTACGTTTACTTGTTATAAAACAATTAAAGAATTCTAAACCCTGTACATTTTTCTGCCTACTGTACCTGCAGTAGTTAAAAAAAAATTATTGACCGACAACTGATTTGACAGATTTGCTTTATCATTTCCTATAAGGCCGCGTTAGTGCGCCCGATGTGCGATGGTTTGATCCTACTATACTTGTACGAACTGCGCCTATATTAGTTAATTCTTTACTGCCAATTAAACTATAAAAAAGTATGTGTGGATATATGGCACGTGTTTTGGGGAGTTAATCTACTTATCGGAGTCGTTGCAAGGTGTTTTCCGCGATCGCCTATAGCCACTCTATGTAGCCGCGGTCTAAAATGTAAAGACGCAATGCCACTGCCAGACTGCCACACATAACGAAGAAAATTAGGAAAAAAAAAGAAAAAAAAAATTAGATCAACGTCATCTAGTGATATTTTTCTTCTTAACTTTTTTCAAAAAGTCGGTCCCAATCCAATGGTAGCCAAAAAAATTTGGTTTGGGGGTTTGGGGTTGGGGCCGACTTTTTGAAAAAAGTTGAGTTGAGAAGAAAAATATCACTAGATGGCGCTGATCCTCATATCTTACATTTTTTATTTTTTATTTTTTTCTGTCTGCTAGAGTGTACATATATTATAGAGTGGTAGACTCTGGTTGATCGTAATTATAATATTCTTATATACAGGGAAGAAGAGCGCTTGTCATTTTTATTTATGCATAAGTACATTTTACATTTTCTTAAATCCCTGCATATCCTTTCAAGATTTTTTTTGTAAAAAACATGGTACTTATCTGCTGGTGAATTCGTTGTGTCCTTTTTTTACCAAAATTTAACATATTCCTTTTGTCTTGCTGAAAAAACTAAGTTCATGAACTAGTGCAACAGTCAAAGTGTTGATGGTTTTGAAAGTCCAAAAATAATTTAGCAGAGAGACAGCTGCAAGCCAAACAGGTAAACTATTAAAAAAAAAGAAGCAAGTTGTTTAACCATTATCGATACGGTTTATATAGAATGACATATGTATACAGGCTGATTGTGAAAAAAATATTTTTCAAATAACACTTGACGTAAGTAGATATGGATACAACATTAGCCCATAGCAAAACTGATGAATCAGAATTGATGAGTGTTCGTCAAAAAATTACAGAAATACTGGAGCATAAAATTATTCTAGGAAAATATACTGACAAACGTTATGTAGAATCGCTTGGAGTGTACAGGTATAACTAAAAAATTAATTTTTTTTTTTTTTTTTGTAAAAAAATAAATATGGACTGAAATATAAGATTTATTTTAAAATTAATGAATGAAGGGACGTCATTGTTATCGAATCACCCAACGATGTTGATAAACTGTTTGAAATAAAAAAGTTATTGGAACAATTTATGGTTAATAGATGGATTGGTATTACAAGTATATAGGAGTTGATTATTTATATTCTCAAAATTTATGATTTTTATGCAAATCTGATCGTTTATTTTGTTTTCTAGAAGACCCTCAAAACATAAGTTCCCAAAGCTGCCTCTTATGGACCCATCTGAAAGAGGTACCGGTTGGTAAACATTGGTTCCACTTAAGTGGAATAACTATTGAGACAAAAGAAATTCTGGTAGAAGTAAAGCATGTTGAGCCATTTCGTATTCCTGATAGGAGTTTTAATATCAGTGACACAGATTTTCCTTCCTTTGATCCAAAAGAGGTAATATTTATACCTAACGGAATGTTTTCACAAAATATACAATATACATTTTTCATATTGTTACTTTCAGATTTTTACTTATTCGAATGTGTGCGAAGCATTCAAATTTACTGTAATTTTATTCATGGCCCTTTTTACTTTTTTCATCGAGGCCTTAAAATATTTAGCTGACCTCAGTATAAGATTTAGTTATGTGATGATAAATTTTGTTCATGTTTCTACTCCAATATGTATGGGCATTTTTGAATTTTTGACAAAATGTGTGGCGGGTTTCTACTGGCTTATATATGCAATGATCAAGGGCAGTGCTAATAGTCCTGCAGTGCCAGCAGCTCTCATGAGTAGTCAAAGGGCTATAGGCTATGGTTCAACTTTGAAGCAACACTACGCAAATTTCAGGCCAAACTCGCATCAGGATCAATTTAGGTACCAAAGAAGATAGTGCATTTCACTTTTAATAATTAAATACGTCAATCATTTTCGAAAATATATATCGTGTATATAATTACTAAATCGTTGTCAAGTATTAAAAAATTGAAAGCTTTAAACATTTTGCGACAAAAAATAATTTTTTATAAGCATAGAGATATAATATGTAATGAAATTGTATGTGACATGTTAAAACGTGAAAAAAAAACTTATTGGTAAATTTCTTGGTTTGATTTTTTTTTATCCAAAATGAATTACAATGAACCTAATTCTGATCCTTCAAGATAATATACATATTTTTAAAAATATAATAAAACCTTGTTTGTAATATTTGTTGGACCTAGTTGTATTTGGAGGAATGATAGTTTTGTTTTTATCAACTATAACATGTGTCATAAAAAACAATCTACAGCTTGTTGGTTTCTTGAATGTTACTGTACATTTATGCCTTTGTGATTCCAATGACACCGCAAGCCAAACGTCCGCCTGCATTTCCAGTAGTTTTTGACAGTTCATGACCACCCTTTCCTAAATCATCAGGATCTGCATGAACCTGTGTATCATAAAAAAAAAAAATAAAAAAAACCACAAAATAACAAATCATAATTCCAGTTAGCTAAACTATCAAACGTTCAATTAAAACAAGACTTACAACAAGAGTTCTGCCGATGATACTGTGAGCTCCTTGGAGTTGAATCTGCTTGTCTGCAATGTTAACTTTTGCCAAACCGTCAGAACCAGCTTCTACATTGCCAAGATCTCCTACATGGCGCACCTCGTCTGTCGGGCCTCCATGATCCTTACCCAGGGGATTGAAGTGCGGCCCAGCGCTAGTGCATCCTTTAAAAAAAAAAAAAAAAAAAAAATCTTGACACTAAGTACACACAAACTTATCAAGAAGTATAATGTAGAATTATAAGGGTTACCATTGGTGTTGTCACCAAACTCATGGACATGGAAGCCATGGAGTCCTTGTTTCAAGCCGGATACCTCACCGGTGACCTTGACGGGATCAGCCGGGTTCTGTACAGATAATAAACAAAAAAACGTAAAACTCGTTATCAACAAATCCTATGAGCAGTCTTTTTTAATAAACGAAAATAACAAAATCAAGTAATGCATCGTCATGCAAGTATACACTTACCGCCTGCTCAAAGAACAAAGTACCCTTGCAGTCGCCCTGGAGTACACAGACCGCTTTGACCATGATTTTTCGTAAAAGCTGAACGAAGGTACTTGATTAATTGAACGAAACAATATCAGAGAGATAGTTCGAGAAAAATCCGAAGATGTGCTGATTCACGATTAATACCGTTGCGAACAAGATGTTTGTAGGCCACGATACGATAAGTAAGTATACCGAGTTACGCAAAAATAACAAGTGCCGATGTATCGCCTGGCGTATACACACTGTCGTGAGTCGTGAGTCGTCCGACTGCTCTCTCTACCGACAATACCGACCTGCCGTGTGGAAAAATTATACTTATCTTATATAGGCACTTACAACTTACACTTGTATATAGGTATATTGGGCGTGCGACCGCGAGAGATTACTTAAAAACAAGCAATAAAACCGGCTCTTCGCGTTTATTTACTTGGCGGTTTCACATTCACACACACATTCTATTGGATATTACAACACATACGTTGAAATATGTTGAATACTTGTAATATATCCCGCGTAATTTCAAGAGAAATTATTTGGCGCGATCGGAAAAGTGTAAGTATGTCGCTGTATGTATGGAGAACAAATTGATGACCAAATAAAAAACGATTAAATTGATATATATGTATGTATGTATGTGTATATATATCCATCACATTCTCTCCATTTCACTACTTCACTAGTATATGCACTAGAAAATTTGGCTGCTACTGTAAGACTTGGTTTAAAGTTTCACCCACAGTTAATAAGTATATTAATTACAAAAATTCTTCAAGAATAAATTGGATTCAATACTGTAAGTGGAATGTACATAGTGTTTGTAAATACTTACATACATGATTTGAAAAAAAGAACATTTCGATATTTTAATATTACATTACAATATTCGATACAAATGAGAATTTAAATGTTTTATCAGGAGCAGATTTGAGTGCAAGCAACAATTTTAGCTACAAGCATTCAGCTCCCTTCGTTATTGTTTTTAGTGAAAATACAATGTACGATTTTAGCAGTGTGAATAACTTGAGTTTTGTATTAATTAGCTGTTTCATTATCTTCGAAAACAAGAAAGTTGTCGATCCTTTGGTGGATTTAAGAAATGCTACAACGCCGATCCTAGTAAAGATTTTTTTGTGTACATCGTTAAGGTGTACGTTTTATCAAATCTGGAGATTGTATCGATAATTGATTGGTACGGCGTTCGTTGAAATTAAAAAAAAAATTTGAATGTTTTAAAAAACATTAATCAATAATAGCACAAACACAGGAGTAATTTTTATCAAATGCTGTGCGTGACATGTTTAGACGAATTTTTACCCATCGTGAGGATATATTGCGGTAACATGAGTTACCACAATAATACCGCTGATATAAAAATTATTTCGACTGCTTGTTTTGTAAATTTGACGACCGTGAATGATTAAAACCAACAGTTGCAGTGAATAACTTTTATCATCACGGATACCCAGTTCCGGTGAATTAATTATTTAGTCACTTTATTGGCTGCTATGTTCCATATGTGTGTAAGTACTACTGACATATAGTACATATAACATACATGCATGCATGCATGAATAATAAGTAAAAACTGAACAAACTGGGAAAAAAGGGCTGATGATTACTTAATATACCCATTCCCTCATACGCAGTTTTAACTAAGTGACCTTGTCGAGAATTGTATTACAATTATATATATATATAATTGTGTGTATATATATAAACGACGACATAACCTTCAGTCGCCTCGTCGTCGTCGTCGTCGTCGTAGTCTGTTGATTCGGTTACCGTGGCTGCTGTATTTGCTCAACTCAAGTCAAATGTTTGAAAAAAAATTAACTTGTGCAGTTTGAAATAGTTAACAAAATCCTTTTATAAACGATTGAATCAATCAGCGTTACGCGATACATCTTATCAGTATCAGCTACAATGATTGAGTCTTGCTCAAAAAAACGTATGCTGTTGGGTATAACACTGTTGGGGGGGTAAGTTGATTTTATTTGATAAAAGAAGGCACCAATTTCATTGTTCATATTCACTTGCTTACATTTTTTATTAAAGCCTGACTGTGCATTGTTAGGTTAACAATTCTAGTGCTGATTGTGGAAAGCCATTGGACAGACAGTACTGGAAATACCTTGGTAGTAAGAAATACTGAAGCAAACTCCACTTGTTCACCTGGTGAAAGTTTTAAAGTGGTTTCCGAATGCGTACCCTGTACGGCTTTTGAAATAGCTAGTGAGAGTTCCATTGCTTGTAAAAAAGGAAGGTTTAAAGAAGTCATTGAATGTAATTCTGGTGATAAAATTACTCGGAGGTACGTAATTTTATTTTTTTTTTTAATTTGTCAATTACATCTTGTAAGTTTTATTAAACACATATTAATGCTCGACCATGTTTTTTCAGTTGTGACAAGGTTGCATGGTTAGAGGAAAGAGCATTTTGGCAGTTTGAGAGTTTAACTTTTGTCGGAGCTGTACTGTCGTGTATCACAGTCTTTTGGAGAGAAAACGTTCTTAGACAAAGAATAGTAAGAAAGGTAGCAAGGCAGTTGAGAGGGAGTGTGTGACCGTTTGTTGAAACAACGTAATGGCAAAGATTTATCTTAAAGTATTCACGGCTGACAGTTTGTGTCAAGTGCCTATTGAAACTCTCATAACATTATTCACAATTAAATATTGTAACTCGGATGTGCAGATTATGCTAGTAAAAAATATCCCCGTCTGCACGGAAAATTCATTTTTGGTAGATTTGTCAACATTTGAGTATGAATTGATAGAACGTGCTGAAATGTCAAAGATTGCAAGTTGTTGCGAGTTGCCCAATTTGGAAGAGAATGGTACAAGCTGTATAGCTGGACTATGCGCAACGCTGAGACAAGTGATTAAAAATGTTCTTATCAAGCATCCAGAACATTATTCTATAAAATTATTGGGCTTTAAAGAAGCTTGTCTGTTGGCTTGTTCAGAGGTAAGTGTTTGGACTCGATTTTGCGAAATAGACATTGTCTCAATGTTAAAATCGATTGACAAACAAAATCAAGATAGCATTTTGCCTGTGTCATTAGCCAAGTTTGAAAACCACATGTCGCAGCCTGTAAGACTGCACAATTTGTATAAATACACCATGTCGAAAAAGTATACTACTCCCGATTTTGACAAAAACAAAAGTATTATGCCAGAACACGTTTTTTCAGAAGGTTTGAGTATAACGCTAGCAGATGTTATGATTTTTGTATGCATTCGCATGTTTTTCACGTTTGTGGACAAAAACCAGATTTTTGACGTTGCTCCACTTACTATGAAGTGGTATGATAACATGTTGACTAATGAACATATTCTCAGATGTATGGAAATATTGTGCATCCAAGACTTGTACAGTACAAATTTAATACTCGCTTACAGCTTGCCAGTAATTGAAAACCATAGCTTATACAAAAGCGACCAAAAAAAGTACCCATCTGGAAACCGAATTCACACGCGCCAATCAGACATAGATTACTCTTTAAACAGAGTCAAGTGTTTTCAATTACAAATCCATCTGGATGAGTTATTTGGTATAGAAAAGACGGTAGACTGGCCCAATATTCCTTATGAAGCAACTCCAGAAGGAGGGAACCTTCCAAGTAGTCGTTTGCATAGGAAGCTCCAACAGTTGGAAAGTTTATGTAAGCCTGTGTTAAAGCTTGCCAAAGAAGGCGACGTTATAGTCGATTTTTGTTCGGGGTGTGGACATTTAGGCATTCTTTTGGCTTATTTGTTACCTAAATGCAGTGTTATCCTCTTGGAAAACAAATCAGAATCCATGAAGAAAGCCAAAGAGCGCGTAGCCAAATTATCCTTGACAAACGTAACGTTTTATCAAAGTAATCTTGATTACTACATAGGACACTTTGATATTGGTGTGTGTCTTCATGCTTGTGGAGTGGCTACCGATTTAGTCCTTCAGCAGTGCATCGGCCAGAACGCTGCATTTGTCTGCTGCCCCTGCTGTTATGGATCCGTTCAAGACTGCTACAAGATTATTTATCCACGTAGCCAGGTAATGAAAGGTATTTTAGATAAAAGGAATTATTTGACGTTGGGACATGCTGCAGATCAGACTCACGATGCTGAAAACGCAAAGACGAAACAAGGATACGAATGCATGATGGTTATTGATACGGATAGAAAGTTGCAGGCTGAGGAACATGGGTATAACGTCCACTTGAGCAAACTTTTACCAGAGACTTGTTCGCCTAAAAATCATTTACTTGTTGGTTGGCCAAGTAGGCTAAAGATCAGATTTTTGTAGTTTGTATAATACAAGAGACCGGGTTGATTAATTGAATAAATGAAAAATAAATAACTGAACGTGAATAAAAAAATTTCAATGTTTTTATTTTATGGAACATAAGAAACTTTTCTAGACACGACGGAACTGTTTCTCGTAAGTATAATTTATTAAATAAATATTCCTAATACATAAAATTTAATTTGTCTAGGTTCTTTTTCTCAAATCTTAACTAAAAGCACGGGATAATATCACCAAAATTTTTTTATAGACCACTTGAAATACCTACAAGTGAACAGTTGATTGTAACCTTGTTAATAACAGTGATTATAATAATAAAGCGCTCCACTCAAGAGAAATTGACTTGTTTATAATGTAGGAGGGAAATTCATGTATAAACATAAAGTAATTTGTTTAACGCACAATATATTTACAATTAAGAATTACACAAATTATACTAAATAACTAATTGATCAACGCCTTCATTTCGTTTTCAACAGGGTGTATGTATTCATTTTGCTAACATTAACACATTAAAGAAACAATTAAATATGTGGAGGAGAGAGATCTATCGTGTTTGTTGATTTTTGGGTTTAAATCTATAAACTTGGAAAATTTTCGGCGTTGAGGGGCAATGTGCACAAACAGAGAGCAAGAGAATGTCGGTAATGTATAGATTTTAAAAAAATTTATTTTAATACCGCAACAAAATCGACACATAAAACAGTAAATATTGATTATGAAACCTGCAGAGTAAGAGAAGCAGATATAATGTTTTTCAGGGAATCGTACGTATGAATATGAATGTCTAAAGATGGTAGAGAAATTATGTAACAATAATCTTTATACAGAGAAAAAAACAGCTTACTTGAAATTGAGCAAAGCAATAGAAATTTTCTAAAATTATTGGATACTTAGTCAAAGTTTTCCTAAACTCACCGGCTCCGTATCGCTCTATTGTTGCAAAGCGGACCGACGTATTATGATTTATTTATTTATTATTTTTTTTTTTTGACGACAAAGAGAAGCTCATTATACATGGTTTTTTTTTTTTTTTTTTTTTTTTTAATTTTTTAATTTTAGACGTGTACAACAAGTTTACTCGCTGTAGTTCTTTTAGAGCCAAGCTTTCACCCTCTGGACTAAACTGCAAGAGTGCAGTGATTAAAGACATGATTTTTAGTAATAATAGTGTGCTGAGTATTTTCTTGTGTAAATTCGGTATTGATACAATGGTTTCTCGGAAAGAAAAAAATTCTAAAAAAATATCGTAGGTCACATGCGAAAAATGTAACGCACGAACCAGGGTAAGATGACGAGTCGCATGCGAGCGCGTAGTTAACGGCTGTTATTTAATTTTCGTTTACAGTCGTATACTTGTCTCCACCTCTGTAAAATATTTCATGTGGGTGTATTTCATTGAAGTTTTGTGTGTAAATAATTTTCTTGTCCGGGCGGTCTCTCTCTCTCTGAAGACTCTGTACGACTGTAAGTATGTGTAGGTAGGTATGTACGTGTATCATCAATGAATCTCGGTAAGAGCGGGAGAGGCTGCTCAGAAGATGGATCACGACTCGCCGTTACCGCTGTCGTCACCGTCCTCGTATTCGCTCGCGCTCTGGTGTTCCTCGTTATCGTCATCGTCGTCATCGTCGTCGTCGAGCTCATACTCGTCGTCGTAGAAGTCGGTCATATCGAGATGTTGTTCAGCGGGCCGTGCTCGGGTCTTGATGCAATAATCCTCGAGGGTCACCGGCACCACGATGCCCTCCTTTTCTGCCTCCATCTTTGCTGCTTGTGCTTGCTTTCTGTAATGCAAAATTTTCGTTACAATATATTTTTGCAAGCATTTCTGCAATTATTGTCGAGTATATTTGGAGAATTTCTTATACTTGGAGAAGAAAAATGTAATGTCATTTGCATCATCACCATCGCCGTCGCATATCTGGCCCATAAACAAAAACAAAAAATGCGGAGAAAAAAAACTAGAGCCAATTTAATCTCCAGGTGCAAGTCAGAATGAGCTAGGGAAGAAAGGTGAGGGGGCAGAAACGAATGATGATAATTGGCACGGGTATCAGACAGAGAAAAACGAGCGAGCATGCCTCGCTCTCGCCTTCCAATGCCAATAATATCATTTTCCGTATATCGAAAGGAGCGATCGGCTGGTGCTGCAATGCAGCGGCCTCCTCTCACCTGATGATATTCTCATACTCCTTGTCTCGACCCTTGGAGTCGCGCCAGCGCCTGTACATCACTGACGCGTCCACGTTGGCCGGACTGTAAGTGTTGGGCTCGTTGAGCAGCGAGATAACCGACAATAGGATCGTTCTGCAACAAAATTAATAAATTAAGAAAAAAATAAAATAAAAAAGATGATAATCAAGTCGAGCCTCTCTTGTCACGCCTCCTGCTTTCTTCTCTGTAGATATTTATTTCACCAGACAACAGAGCTAGAAAGACACTGTTCAAATATATATTATGTGCACATACACCTCAAAGAGTGTAGGTTTGCGTTTGTCGGGTGATATTATGTCGTATACTCGGGTGCGAGCAAATCTAGCCGGACTTTTTTTTTTTTTGAAATAGAAAGAAAGAGCCGACGCGACCGCTCAATTATATGGTTCCCTCGTTTTTTTGTGGTAATCCAAGGCTGCGCTTTTATTTTTGCTGCAACTCATAATGGAAAAGCAATGTCGTCGTCGATGTTTTTCGCGAGTGTCGAGCTTACAAGTTTATTGTTGGTAAACGCGCGTGATGTCACGCACCGCAACGATTTTAGCAGTTTGACGTGTATGTATGGTTTCGTTTGCATCGGTTGCGACCCACACAAAGTTTAACAAGAAACTTTAAGAAATCGCGTGAAAAAAAAAAAAAAAAAAAAAAAAAAAAAAAAAAAAAAAAAAAAAAAAAAAAAAAAANAAAAAAAAAAAAAAAAAAAAAAAAAAAAAAAAAAAAAAGAATAAACAGCTACCTATGTATAAATAGATGGTGATGATATCACGGATAAGAACAAATACATTTCAGCCGACACGTAACGGTTTGTATGCATTATGTGCAAATGTACACGTACACATTGATATGTAAGGCAATATAACCGGACTAGCGTTCGATACGCTTGCCTGAATTTTTCAACGACAATCAGTAGCAGTAGCAGCAAACAGTACTATATAGGTAGGTATTGTACTCAATACATCCATGGTAGTAGGCAAATACTACCTCGCGCACATGCTACTGTAAGACAAATACGATTGTACAAAAATACCTGCGTGAAACTATGTGAAAATTATATTTGAACAAAATTCGATTAGCTTCAAACTAGATTTCAAGATTGATAAGCTTTTAAATGAACCATATAGGACCTACAGTAGCTCGATCAATTTTTTCGATTCTCATACGAGGACTCTCAAACGCCTTTAAATGCATGAGAAGAGAGAGAGAGAGACTAATCTCGTTGATTCAACGTAGCATCATTATAAAAATAATGGGGGTGTTGCCCAAAAAAGCTAACTGTATTGGAATGAGACACCAACTACCCAATTCAATCCTGCAGTTATTATGTATCCATCACTCGAAAACATGCATTTTCAACTTTTGTTTCTTTCATTTCACAATTTTTTCAAAGATTGCACCTAATACTAGTGATATATGTATATTAAGGTGTGATGGTGGCCGTTCTCGGTCGTTGGCACTCGGCTCACCTGACGTTCTGCGTTGGATTCCACCTCTCGCAGGGCAGCTCGCCGCTCTGCGGGTCGTCAACCGGCGGGTGTAGGATGGATATGCACAGGTCTCCATTCTGCAAAAGACAAAAGACAATTTATCTTACCATCACTTACTCGTTGTTTTTTGTTTTTCTCTTTTTCTTTTTTTATGATTGCAGGTAAACGCGTGATTCATTGGACGAAGAAAAGCCAAGTCGTTGGTGATTTCTTCCTAAATATTTATACTGATGTATGTATAATATATCGCGGCACGTCGTCATACTCATCAGCACAGAGAGACAACAAACACGACCTGTGCTGAGTCTATAGTAGTGATATATAATTATTGTACCCCCATCGACCTAGCTTTCGATACCGCTACACGCTGACACTTATCTCGATATTTCTACAAAAACGTTTTCAAGCTCTCATTTCCATCATCCCTCTATCGTAATTATATACCCTACATCGAGAAGAACAAAAATGTAGTATTGAGTCAACTATATAATATTTAACTATAGCTCGGAAGATCGCGCGGTGGCTCAGTCGGCTAGGTCGTGGATTGGCACGTGGGAGACCGTGGTTCAATTCCCGGCCATAGTGCGACATTTTCGGTCAAGTACCTCTGTGATTTTTCACATGTGCTTTTTCACCACACAATGCTCCTCGAGGACCATCTTTTAGGCGACCTTCTCGCAGAAAAAATTGCCTAATTTCCCCCTACCCCCCCTCCCAGTAAATGGGAGGCCTCCCATCCCTCTTTCCCTTCCTTCTCCCAAGTGCTAAGTGCCCATACTAGAGTGCCCTTATTAAAGGAGCCGGACGTAGAGCACTCTAATATATATAAAAAAAAAAAAAAAAAAAAAATTATAGCTCGGCAATAATTACCTACTCTAGTGTAACGATGAAAAGAAAGAGAGACAAAGGGAAAATCTGATATGCTGCATCTCGAGGTCAATAACGCACCTATCGCAAAACATTTTTCGGTCACTTGTTCGTCCTTTACGACATAACATTTTACCCGACGATCTGTCGATAAGATTAAATAACCCCAAGAAATTTTTTTTTTTTTTTTTTAGTGCCAGTAGGTAATTCAAGTCCATGGCAGAAGTTGCACAAAAAATTCTGCAGTCATAGAAAAAGTATACGTCAGCGCACTCAAGTTACTTGCCGAAAGAGATTCGTGACTCACGGTCTTGGTGCTCTGCTCTTCTTTTGTTTTCTCATTTTTGCGAGTATAGCGGTTTCAATTTCCGGGCGTACATAGAGAGTGAGATGAGCGGCAACAGTGAGAAGAATACAATAAAAGAGAGAGACAGAGAGAGAGAAAACGGGAGAAAAGAGAGGTTTAAGCAGCTGAAAGTCAATAATTGTCGCACGCGCGCGGCTCGTTCGCTTCCACACGTAAGTACACATTTTTCATACATGGACAGCGTATGTGAGTATACATGGCATATGTGTTTGGAAATATACACCCACAGTGTAATACGCTGTATAATAATAGCTGCTGGAGGCTCGTTTGCTAATGTTATACAATATCGTAGTGTGTTTGGTTCAATAAATACTCGGACAGTCGCCCATTAATATATATATGGTTTGCGTTTGTCGGGTGATATTATGTCGTATACTCGGGTGCGAGCAAATCTAGCCGGACTTTTTTTTTTTTTGAAATAGAAAGAAAGAGCCGACGCGACCGCTCAATTATATGGTTCCCTCGTTTTTTTGTGGTAATCCAAGGCTGCGCTTTTATTTTTGCTGCAACTCATAATGGAAAAGCAAT